TTCCTCACATTTCCAAACAGTCGGTGGGTCCTGATAAAAATACCATCTAGCATTTGTAGAACACTCTACGGTCTCAGAACCACTTTCACAACCCTGCCTCCTTCCCCTCCCTGTCCAGGCCCCACCCGTTCCCAGCCTGCTTCCACCCACGCGTCTGTTCTTCCTGACGGCCAGCCCCAAGCCAGGCACTGGCGGGGTGAGGCGCCATGCTCTCCTTCGCGGAGTCCATGTGCTATTTGAAGAGTTTCCTCATAGAGAGCCAGGCGACCAGAAATGTGGGCAGAGAACAAAGGGCAGCTTGTTCAGGTTCTGTTTATTATGTGCTCACAGCATTGTGTATAGTAGAGGTGAATGACATTATCCCATTTTACACGGTAATGAAACAACTCAATGAGGACTCCATCAGCCAGGCGTGTTCTGTGGCGGATGGGCCGCTACACATTTGGTGTGCACTCCGAGTGACTCAGCCAACTCCACAGTGGTTGGAGTGCACGCCCAGCCCAGCCACCTTTTCGGCACCTGGCAGAGGGGACCGATCAGGAGGGGCTAAAAAGGAATAAGAATCGAGAAGGGGACAGTTTATTAAGGACCTAAACCCCAAACCTAGAAGGCCCATCAGTGGTGCCATCTTAAAGTTGCCATCTTAGTCCACAGAATCCTGTGGAACCTTGAGAGGCCTCCAGGGCAGGAATGCAGCTCTGTTCTCGGCTTCTTCCTCCACAGTTTCATGCCACGCTCTCTCAATGCCCAGGATGACTCTACCACCTCTTTCTCCTCACCTGAAGGAATGCCGATTGATGAAGGCCTGTTTCTTGACTAGTTAATTCTTCTGTCCTGCTTGGAGGTGGCCACAGACACATGAGAAGAGTTCAGACAACTCCTGCTGATGGGTGACCATCCTGCCTCTGAAAGTGCCACTCTCCACCTTTCCCTTCTGGCTGATGGAGAAACAGACATCTCTGAAGCTTCTTGACATCTCCCCATTCTTCTTCCTCTCTCTGCTCCTCTTCCACCCTCCCCCTGTTCTCAGCTCAGTGAGTTCATATATCTCCCTCCCAGCAGAGCAAATCTCTCCATAGTCCCAGCACTGGAAGAACTGGACATCCAGCCACACTCAGGAGAAGCACCCAGAGCCCACACCTCGAGTTATACCTGCTGCCTGGGAAGAACCCCTTTTCACAGCTTTGGTTTGTGTATTCATAGCAGCAAGTGCTGGGGAGAGCACCGGGGAGGAGAATCAGCTAGGAACTTCCCAGCTGTCCATCTGACCAGGAAACCAAAAGGGAAAGTAAGAGGATGGAACAAGGGCTGAAACCCACTAAGACCTTGGCAACACCACAGAGACTATACTATTCCTCAAAATGTGACACTTGAGATGCAGAAACTTGAACTTGTTTGTGTTACTTCTGTTATTACTACAAAAACCACTCTTGACTGGCTACAGAGGCACAGCCCCAAAATGGCCAAATACAAGATGGCATGAGACAAACGGGGTACAGCCCAGGAGGGGAACTTGGAGGAAGAACTAAAACTAGAAAGCACAAAACTAGAAAGCCATGGTAGAAGAACTCTGACTAAAGTATCCCTTCAATTCCCTACCTCAGCAGGTTGGCATACCTACTGCCAAACAGTGCATGTAGGTTGGGCAAAACCACTTTTCCCTCAGAGGATTAAGTCAGACTGAAAGGACACAGAGGCAGCCACCCCAGGACGTCAGTCTCTGGGGCTTGAACGCTTCCTGGTTTTTGTGCTTGTTTTCAACAGGACATGCTCTCAACCTCTTGCTCCACCCATCTATGTTATACCCTCTGTCGTGTCCTTCCTCAGTCCCTAGACCACTGGTGCCTGGACACATCTGCACCCCAGATTCAAGTAAGAAGCTTTTAAAAAAGATACTAGTGCCTTGGTCTCAACCCAGAGCTTCTGATTTCATCATCTTAGAATACAGATTGAAAAATTACTGGGTTTGTTTGTTGTTTTTTTTTAGCTTCTCAGGATTATAACTATAATGAGCAGCCAAGGTTGAGAACCTTCAGCCATTTATAGAAACTATGCTCCCATAACCACTACTGCCTTGGAGTTTACTAAAAAATGTACATTTCTGAGTATAATCCCAAACCAGTTGATTTCTCTTTTCTGGATGTAGAATTTGAGAACAGGCATTTGTAACGGGCTTCCCAGGCAAGTCTATGTATCTTATGCTTGATAATTCAGATAGTCTCAGAGGATCCCTCTTCACACAGAGGTGTCTGGAGTTGGAATAGTTGTCAGTGATTTTTTTTAAGGGCAACAGGAAACGTCACACCAGCCCCTCAAAAAGATTAGCATGCCAGCAAAGCCCAGAAGCCCACTCTGGGGCTGGAGACACTTCTAGAAGTCACAGCACTGTCCGGCTTACCTGCCTGGGATTGTCTCAGACACAAAGGTCCCAGGACCAGGAGCCCCCAGCCCAGAAGGCAGTCCACAGCACAAGCCGGTATGGGGAGCACAGGAAGACGTTATATGAGAAGAGCAGCACCTGGGGGGTGCCAACCAAGAGAGGCAAATGAGGGCCTGCGAACGAGGGAACAGGAGGGAGCACAGGACGGGGGCACACTGAAGGTGAGGGATGAGGTATGCTTGGATATTGCTCTAGATGTTGTAAACATTTCTCTTTGTTTCATCTCAGACCAAACTCTGGGCTGGCATGACCAAAGTGCCAAAGAGTGGACATCAGAGTGGGAAGCTCTGTACCTTGGAGGGCTGGGGAGGAAGCAGGACACTGAGGGTGTGGGCAAGATCCACCACATTGTGAAGAGTATCTCTAGAATATACTACTAGTCCATTGCTCCCAATTGTCACACACGCACATATACATACACATACACACACACTCTCACGGCTGCGCCGTAGAAATACTATAAAAATAGCTATCACATTCCTCTACACATCGACACACACCCACATACCCTGGCTTAGCTGTAAAATTCAGCATACGTAGCCTCGGTCCTTTACACCTCCTCATTGCTGGGGAGGAGTCACCAAGGCACCATTGCTCCACCATCTGTAGTCTCCATTCTACCAAGAGTTGGCGAGCTCTTCCAGTCCCAAGCAAAGCCGTTGCACGACAGTTTTGCTTGGACTCTTCTTCTTGGGATAGTGGAAGTGGTGAAAAGGCCCCTCTCTGAATGTTTTATTTCCATAACTCTGAGCGGTTTCAATTCAGATGCACCTCATGTTCCCCAGTAGAGTTGGCAGCACATGCACATTTCATATGTAAACAGTGTTGAAAAATACCCTGTTAGAGAATTTTATCATTAAATTAATTCTGGCAGCTTTAGTTTTGTTTTGTTTTTTCCTTTTTCCAGTGTGAGGATACTAACTAATCTAACTAGAAATATCCATCTGAGGCTTCAGAGTTCTGGAGAAGTGAAACTCTACAGGTCTCATCAGTCTGAGGGTGAAAAGGCGTCTGCTTTCTCTCTTCTTTGTGATTCATACAGATGTGGTACCCACACTCACAGATTGTAATATGCTGCTGCTGGGAAGCAGACCTCAACACTAGTGGGGCTCCAGGAATTTCTAGGTCTTGTCTAACTGTAACCAAGAAAGGAAGGGGTTGGCAAAGTTACTGAACAGGAATGCAAATATAGAAACACTAATGTAGCCAAGGAGTGTGCTTCAGTCCAGCTCTTTAACTACCTGTACTCCAGAGCTGGTGCCGGAGTCCATGGGCTGTTTCATTTAGTCATGTTTGAAATACAGATCTGTAGTGACTCCAATACGCAAACCCATTAGTCATGAATTACCCCAAAAGCAGCTCCACCAAGCTTTCTGTGTTTCAGCCCACTTAGAGACCAGACCCTTCCAGGTGTCTTTCCCACTTCTGGTCTCTCTAGGGATCCGTCTCCTTGAAACTGCTCTGTTGGGTCAAAGTCAACTTTTTCTTTTTTTTTACAGGTATGAAGAAGAAGGATGTGTTGCTCACTCATCTCCAAGGACAAGTCTCCTGACACATTTCCAATAGCAGCTCCGGGGTTCCATAAAAGCATTTTAGGTACATTCTCCACAGTCAGGCCCACCTGTCCCCACGCCAGGTGTTCACAGTGATCTTCTGAGTCATACCTTCTGTTCCATGTTCAGTCCCAGGAAGGTCAGAGATCAAGAGGGAAGCTACTGAATAGCCAGGATGGCCCATGAGAGAGCCCTTCTAAGAAAGCATGCTCCTGGGAAGCAAGCCTAAGTTCCCTTCCTCCCTCATTGTAACTGCGTAACCTGAATGGAAGGGGAACTGGGAGAGACAGGGAAAATATTAGGCACCGTGAGAGCTGTCCATGCTATGGGAAGTCATCTCCCCTTGCCGAGCTGTCTGTCATTCTAAGAGACTGGTGACGTATGAAACCACAGGGAGGTGAGGGCAGAGGTTCCATGAACAGACAAGTTATGTGGTGCCCGGTTGCACATGAGTCTACTGGTGCTACATTCCCTGGTCATTCGGCGTCTAGAAAATGTCTTGGTAAAACTGAGGAAGATTTACAAGCTGCATCTTCCCTAATAGCAGCCTTACATCACATCAGAGGTCATGAAGGATTTCTCCTCAGGCCTCGTCAGGAAGTAGAAGGGTGAGCGAGGGTTGGAAATTTCCTAGGTTAAGGTGGGCAGTTATCACAGCTTTTGACTTCGGTCCAATGGAAATGGAAGAAACAGCCAACTGCACGGAGTGTGCCCCATCTCAGAGAGGTCACCTGCCAGTGACAGCACTGGAAACCTGTGATCCACAGGCTTCTGTGAGGTTCCAGTATCCAGGACTGGCCAGTACACTGTGACAGCAAGTCACAGATGGGAGCCAGAATCTTCCAGCTATTCCTCCATGGGAAAAGTAGATGGCCAGGAAATCTAACTGAGGAGAGTGTGGAGAGAGTAGAAGTTGCATTTGCATTATTTACAGATTAGCCCAGCATAGCAAATCTGCCTTCTCAGTGGAGATGACTCAAGGCATTATGGAGGGCATGTGGCTGACCCAGGGAAGGGCAACTGCAGCAAGGTGCTACCACTAACTGAGACACAAACGTGGATAAATAGAATAGAGTTCGAGCCCTGGCAGCTGGTCATACTGGATGACCCTTCATCCCTTCCTTATCCCCAACCTCCTCAATGCCACTGCCTTTGAACACCTATGACATTTCACATTAGAATATGGTTTTGGCAGCAAGGGGAGGGGGAAAGCCAGTGATTTCCAAAAGTCCCCATCTGAGGTCTAACTGAGCCTCCTCTGGCTTTGGGACAGCAAATCTAAGTACATTTTGGACCTCAGGAACCTGGGGTAAGAGTCTTTCTCCATGAGGCTGTGTACTTTGCCCTGGGCTTGGTCAAAGCAAGTCAGGGATGGCTCCTGCATGTTCTTCCTTGTGGCTTCTCGGGTCTGGAAGTCGATGTTTACCTGGAGACAGAAACGCAGAACAAGGTTACAGGCCTTCAAGGGCCAAGGCACCTGGTAGCCAGCCCCAGAATTTTCTATCAGTCAAATGATTTATGCTTTTCAGACAGCTCTCATGGAGACAATTCCTTTTAATCATATAAAAGAATATGAATACAAGAATCCCACAAGATCAGAAGAGCAGATAGTCTTTATTTTCAATTTATGGGTGAGTAGGTGAATATGTTAAAGGTTACCCAGTGCGGACAGTGGGGGGTGGAGCTCCCTGATTAAAACATCCACTTCTGTAATAGCTTGCCTCCAGAAACCATAGGAACCTGAAGAAAGGATGAAAGTCACACAAGTGTTGAGGACTTTCTGTTTATAGAGTTGCTATGAGTTGCCTACAACTCAACGGCACTTAACTACAACAACAAGGTAGAAGAAGAGAGACTAGAAAAGGATGCCTAAAGAAGCATGGAAAGTTGGTAGCAGAGACTAGCCCAAGGGCCCAGTCACCTGACTCCTAATCCAGGGCTCTTTATAAAATCATGCAAAAAGTTAGATTCAAACCACGTTGAATGACTGTTTAGTAAGTAGTTTGGTTTCCTCCTATTCTTTCTTAACTACTAAGGAAACAAATACCCTGACTAGAGAGTATATCTCTGTTCCAATCAGTGTTATAAGAGGCCGGTAGCATCCTGGTCAACTGGACAAAGACCTCATCTCACCCAAGTCAAAGAATAACTAAAGAGCTCTAGATACTTAAAACACCTAAACCCATTGAATCTTCCCAAGTAAAATTTTGTTTCATAGCAGTGATACAAAGAAATTAAATGTATTATTATCTTGTTGTTATTGTGTATTTCCAAGTAGATTCCAAAGATATCAATCCTTTGATACTTTATTATTATAACATCAATAATTGTAATAATTTTAACCATAAAATATTGCAAATAGCAATGCCAACTTGTTAATGAGCAGTGACAAATATTGTGAGAAGTGTTTTACCTCTAACACTCACCTGAAAAGGTAGATTATATTATACTCTTGTTTTTAATTGGGAAAAATGAGAGGTTTAGTACTTTGATCAATATCATACAGCTGGTAATTGGTAAAGTATTGGAACAAGATTTCAAAGGTATTCATTTCATAAACCTTACTGCCTTCCACTGGGAAAGATAATCTGGATTCAATGGTATCTACACTTTGCAAAATCTCTGTGATGATATATATTTCTTAGACAAAACAAATAATGACAAAGAAATTTGCCGCTGAGTCAATTCTGACTCATCACAAACCTGTAGGACAGAGTAGAACTCCCCAGAAGGGTTTTCAGAGCTGTAATACTGATGGAAGAGGAATGCTTTATCACCCTACCATGAAGCTGCTGGGGGGTTCAAACCACTGACCAGCTGAGTGTTTAACCATGCTGCCACGCCACCAGAGCTCTTTGTTTCATTGGCAGATACCTCAAAACACCCCTGAGAAATATCCTTTTATAGAAGCCCCAGGTTTCTGCTCCCTTTCCTGTTTTTGTCATGAGGAACCATCAGAGTGACGAGGCTCAGTTCAGTATAACAGAGTCCTCATAAAATCCAGCTCAGACCCCAAAGAGGAGAGACACTACCCACACACCTCGCGGGGAGCCTGCACATCCACAAACTCCTCGAAGATCCTGTGGGCCTTGGAGACCAGTTTCGCAGTTGACCTGGTCTTCTTGTACTCCTCACAGGCCAACCAGAACTCCAGGTTCTCCTCACTGAATTCCGTCTTCAAGAAGGCGCGGAATGCAGCCACTCCATCTGTGGATGTGGAGAAAAGTAAAAAGGAACAGAGAAGGGGTGGGGGGAAATGAAGCTCAAGAACCATAGAAAATATAGAAATGAAATGAGAATGATAATAAAGGTGGTCTTGATTATCCAACCTTCAAGACTCTTCCATACCACTTGAAGACTCAATTGGTTTTTTCTTTTTCTTTTAGGCACAGAAATACTGTGAGAGGCAGGCCAGGCTTATTCTTTAATAATCATAGTGATACTGTGGATCGATAACAAACACTGCATTGGAACAGAAGAGGGGAAGAACTGACTAAAAGGAATGTATGTATGACAACAATTTGGAACAAGAGGTGCATTACAAAGTGGACTAGCGGAGTAGGAAGAGACAGGAAGAAGTAAAATGGGCAGTGGATAGATGAAAACCCAGTACTGGAATAAATGTTTAGTAAGGCAGAGCACTAACAGTGAGCCCTCAGGGGTCAGTGCCAAATACTTTTGCATTGTTGGCTGTCTACCTGATCTGAAAGTGAGCTCATGCTATCAGTTAAGCCAAGTTAGTATCTATAATGCATCCCTGACCCTAACTCAAAACAACAATATTGAAACTGTTTCTAGATGAACTAGTTGTTACATACCATTGAGTCAGAACCAACTCATAACTGAACCTATGATTTCAGAGGCTGTACATTGCAAGAGAGGAGAGTGTCCATCTTCCTGATGAGCAGCTGGTGGACTTGAACTTCCTGCCTTTAGGTCATTAGACTTCCTTAGATGAAACTGCAGTGACGTATAAACATCTCAGGGTAAATCTTTCACTGCTAGCAGAAAAACATCTGTCATGAATTGAATCATGCCTCCCCACAAAATTTGAGTCAGCTTGGCTAAGCTATGATTCTCAGGATAATATAACTTACCCACCATGATATTAATGAGACAGAGTTACAGGCAATTATGCAATGATGTATACGTAGTCATTTTCCATGATATAATTAGCCTCTAAGCTTGAAGGGGATAAGGATGAGCTAAATACTCTTATTTATGTCACAGCCCTAATATGATGGAAAGGAAGTTTCCTTGGAATGTGGCCTGTAACATATTTTGTCCCATGGGAAATAAAAAAAAAGAAAGAAAGAGGAAACAAGCAGAGAGGAGGGCCGTAGTAACACCAAGAAAGACCAAGAGTGATACACATCACTTAGATCATTGACTTTGTGCTTGGAAGTTCCTCAATATAAGTGGAAGGCCAAGACTTAAAGAGATCTCCTCCAAAGCATGCCAGGCCTAAAGATGTTGAGGGAAACAAAGACTTTCCTCTAGATTCTACAGAAAAAGAGTACTTTATCCTAGAGTTTGGACTTTTGTTGTTCTTGTTGTAGTTATGTGCCATCAAGTTGCCTGTGACTCATAGTAACCTTATGTACAATAGCTCTGTACAATGCCCTGTCCTGATCCAGTCTAACTTCAACACTTCCTAGTTACTACATCAATCCATCTTATCCAGTCTTCCTCTCCTATGCTATCCCTTCACCCTTCCAAGCATGATGTCCTTCTCCAAGGACTAGTCCCTCCTGACTACATACTCAAAGTATGTGAGATGGAGCTTCAAAATCCTAGCCTCCAGGGAGAAACTTGGCTTTGCCTTCCCCAAGATAGACCTATGTGTTCTCTTGGTGGTCCATGGTATGTTTAATACTCTTCTCCAGCTCAACTCAATTCCACCACAACTCAAATGCTTTGATTCTTCTTCTGTCATCCTTAGTCATTGTCCAGCCCTCTGATACATAGCAAGTAATTGTGAAGACCATGGCCTGGGTCAGGTGCACCTTAGTCTCTACATTGACATTATTACTCTTTAGGACTTTGGAGAGGTCCCTGACAGCTGACTTCTCTAAGGCAATTCATCTTTTGAATTCCTGATTACTAATGCCAAGAGTGTTGATTTTGGGGTCAAACAAGCTGTAATTATTAACAACTTCAAATCTTTTTTCCATCTATCATGGTACTGACTATTGGCCAGGTGGTAAGAATCTTTGTCTTCTTAATGTTGAGCTTCAGTCCATATTGAAGACTACAGCCCTTGACCTTCTGCACAAAGCACTTCAGATCCTCAGTTGCAGCAAGAAAGGTTGCTTGTGTCATCTGCATAACGCAGGTTGTTGATAAGTCTTCCTTCAATCCTGATGCCACACTGCTCCTCATAAAATCCAGTTTTCTGAATGATTTATTCTGCATACAGAATGAAAAGTTACGGAGATAGCACACATCCCTGATGCGCTCCTTTCCTGATTTTAAACTATGCAATGTTTCCTTGCTCTGTTCTGAGAACTGCTTTCAGGTCAAAGCATAGGTTTCACAGAAGCCCAAGCAAGTGTTCTAGGATTCCCGTTCTTCTCAAGGTTAGTCACAGTTTGTTGTGATCCACACAGTCAAATGCCTTTGCACAGTTAATGAAACACAGATTGACATTCCTCTGGAACTCTTTGCTTTTGGTCAAGATTGATTTGTCATTGGCAATAATGTTTCTAAGGCCATGGCCTCTTCTAAATCCAGCTTGTATTCTGGTATTTCACTATCAATGTACTATTCTAGTAATTTTGGATAATCTTCAACAAGTTTTTGCTTTGCATGTGACATTAGTGATTTTATTGTTGTTATATGCATTGAGTCACTTGTGACTCACAGTGACCCTATGTACAACAGCCCTAAAAACTGCTCTATCCTGTGCCAACCTTACTGTCTCTGATATCCTCATTACCCCCATCACTGAGTCAATTCATCCCATTGAGGGTTTTCCTCTTTTGCGCTGCCCTTCCACCCTTCCAAGCATGATGTCCACCTCCAAGGACTGGGTCTTCTTTGCAACATGCTTAAAGTATAGCAGACAAAGCTTCAGAATCCTTGCCTCCAAGGAACAACCTGGTTTCACCCTCTCTAGGTCAAACCTGTTTGTTCTTCTAGCTGTCCATGGTATATTCTGTACTCTTTCCAGCATCATAGCTCAAAGGCATCAATTCTTCGATCATCCCTAGTCATTGTCCAGCTTTTGAACACATATCAAGTAATTGCAAAGACTGTAGCCTGTATCAGGCACACCGTGGTAGCCAGACTGACATCATTGCTTTCAGTATTCCTTGATAATTTCCATACTTTTTTAGGGGTCCTTTTTTTGGAATGGGAATAAATATGGACCTCTTCCAGTAAGTTAGCCAGGGAGTTGTCCTCCAGATTTCTTGGCACAACCTGGTGAGCACATCTAGGGCAGAATCTGTCTGTTGAAAATTGTCAATTGGTATTCCAATTCATGGGACTTTATTTTTCGCCAACTCCTTCAGAGAAGCCTGTACTTTATCCTTCATCACGATTGCTTCTTGATCATATGTTGTTTCTTGAAATTCCTCTGTGTCAGCAAATTCTTTTTGGTTCAGTGGCCATGTATAATCTTTACATCTTCTTTTGATGCTCCTTTAATGGATCATTCAATATTCTGCCCATAGCATCCTTAAGTATTGCAACTCTCAGCTGAATTTGTTCTTTAGTTCCTTTATTAAGAAATGCTTAGTGAGTTCAACCCTTTTGATTTTCTGACTCCAACTCCTAGCACATTTCATTGTAATACTTTGCTTTGTCTTCCCAAACTGCTCTTTGAAATATCCGATTCAGCTCCTTAACGTCCTGATTTCTTACCTTTGCTTTGGCTTCTACTGTAATATTCAGGGTCTCTTCTGAAATCCATTTTTCTGACACACCAATACCTAGTATGTCAATATTTATGTGTTGTTGTTGTTGTTGTTGTTTGGTGCCGTTGAGTACGACTTATAAAGACCCTATGAACAAAAGATCTGAACCTAGTCCTATCCTGTGCCATCCTCACACTTCCTGACACATAAAAGCTCATTGTAGCAGTCACAGTGTCAATCCACCTGGTTGAGAGTCTTCCTCTTCTTCACCAACCCTCCACCCTTCCCAACATCATGTCCCTCTCCAAGGAATAGAACCTCCTAGCAATATATCCAAAAGTGATATGAGGCAAAGCTACATCATTCTTGCGTCCAAAGAGCATTCCAATTGCACCCACTCCAAGACATATCTGTTCTTTCTCTTGGCCTTCCATGGGATGTTCAGTGCTCTTCTCCAACACTACAGCTCAAAGGTGTCAATTCTTTTTTTGTCATCCTTATTCATTGCCCAGATATTGTATGTATAGCTAGTAAACAGAAAGACTATGGCCTACATCTTAGTCCTCAAACTGGCATCACTATTCCTCAATAATTTGGAAAGGTCTCTAACTGTAGATTTTGTTAGAGATTGTCAAAAACCCTCAACCCTGTAGACATCCCCTGGCCAGAGCTGGGAAGAAGGTAGAGGCAGTAAAGCAACTTGGTGCTTTCACCTTACAAAGGTCAGCTGCACACACACTGCACACCACCCCCACCAGCCACACTTCTGGGCTCTCAAAGACCCCAGATTGGCAGTGTGCTAGCAAACATGCCTAGGAGAGGCATATCCCTGTCTTTATGTCACTACTCTGACCCAGCACCTATAATCTGCTCTCCTATAATCACTTACGGCCTAGTGCAGATGACCTCAGTCTTCCATGAACCAAGTTCAACACCCATCCTCTGACTTATCAGATCTTCAGCTACTTGGCAACAAGAACGACTCCTGTTTCCCAAACTTTCAATCAGGAAAGTTATCTAGTTGGAACATTTTAAGACACACACCTACCTTGTCTTTCCCACAGAACCCACTTTCAAGAGATAGGAGAATTGAAGGGCTATTCAGTGGTAGTTTCTCCATGGCCCTCTCCTTAGAGGTCCTGGAAGTCACGGAGCCAATGCCTGAGACTGCCCAGAGCCTGCGTGTCAGGCCCCTCAGATTTAAGGTTCACAGGAAAGACCGAATCAACTCAGAGTGATTTAAATAAAAACTCAGGTAGAAGCCAATTTTCTCAGGCAGTTTTGTACAGTTCAAGGCTGGTGGCTTATTTACCAACCAAAAAAAAAATTATTTTTTTTTTAATTTTTTTTTTTTTTTTCAAAAAAGGCTGCTCCTCCGAGCTTGAATCATGAAAAGCCCAGAAGGTTGTCTCGGGTGGGAGAGATAAGGTGCTTGGCTGGTCCCATTGTCCTATTTGTTTCCACAGCACTGAACAATGTGATGGTGGGAGCTGAGGGGAAGCTGTAAACCCTCTACCGAAGGAGCTGCAGTAGAGCCTGAGTCAACTCTGCTAAGGGAGGGGCTCTCAGTACTTCGTGAGACTGGGGAGGGGGCTGGAAGGGCTATTCACGGTCCTCCTGCTGTGGAAAGGAGCAATGTCTCTAGAGGCCAGTGTGAAGGGCACAGACTCCCCTGTTCACTCTGTGCACAGGTCGCTCTGGAGGTGGATTTCTAAGTTGAGGGCGGGTTCCACAGACACCCTATCTATCATCCCAAGAATAACAGAAATGGGACAGGAGGAAGCAGTGCCTGTCAAAAATGAATGAATATTCTCTCACTCCTGAAAATACTCAAAACGCTTCCATTTGGATTGTGTTCTCTCCCAGCAATGTGATGCCATCTTCAATGGCCTCTAAAAGTTATGCAACTAAATGTGACCTAAGACAAGAGAGTAGTGCTCCACTCAGTGCAAACCAATGAAAAGGCCAATGTTCAAGATACAGGAAGACACCACTGCAGTAGAAATTCAGAAAAGCATGGGACCACCATGTGTAGACAGTTAACTCACTGTTGAAAAAACCCAAAGAGTCACTAGCCTAACCTAGATTTCTTTTAAAGTGATAGTGCTAGTGGAGTGGCAGGAGAGGGGGCAGGCCAAAGTGCATTAGCTGAAGTATTACAGACGAGTCTGAGCTACAGCAAGTACTGCTTGTAAACCTAGATTGGGCGCATCTCAGAGCCTAGGCCGAGGGTGCTAAGGGCAATTATGACAACTGGGCAGAGGGGCAACAAACACATCTCTAGGAAACGAATGGAAATACAGATGTCTTTGCTGTATAAGGAGAAAACGCAGAAACACCAAAATGTGGTAAATTTGGCTTGGCAATAAAAGTATTTTTCTGTGAAGGATATGGTGGCGGGGTAGAGGAGGGACTAGGAAACTCTCTTCCTTTTGCATCATAAAGGAAACCTCTTCATGCCTTACAGCCTCGAAACTCTGCAGCAGATCCTGTGTATGGCATGAGTTTTCAATCTGTTGTGAAACACCTGGAACCCAACCTCTTCCACCTCTGGAATCTTGGAGAACCGTAAGAGGAAGAGAATTAGTCTTCATCATTCCCCAGCAGGAAACTCAGAAGGAACTGGATAGCATGCTGGCGGTTGCTTGGAGTCTGTCTTGCCATGAGGTTGAGTGGTGGCCTTAGGAGAAGACTAGTGAAGAGAGTAGTGATCATGTTGGCGCTGACATTGTTGTATTCCGAGAATTTCAAGAGTTCTCGAAGGAAAGCCATCAAGTAATGGAAAACGTTTCTATGGCATCTTGGAAGTTGTGAAATCACCTGCCGCCAGACCCAAGGGTCATGGGCAGAGTCGAGGCAACACTGATACAGCTCGTAACAGATGACTGGCTCTGGCAGGGCTTCCAGGAAAATGAGCAGTGCTTCAGTCACTGAGTGATTACTGCCAGGGATCGTCTCGGGAATGCTGGTATCCAGACAGTCTATGATCTGCTGTAACTCCTCTTGCATGCCAGGGGTCTGGAATAGGTCCTCCTGGTGGCAGGTGTATTTAAATAAGTGATCAACTAGGAGCCAGATCTCCTTGGGGACCTGAAGAGACCTCTCACTAGCACCTTCTTCCAAGGGAACCATCTACAGAAGAGAGATTCCTCCTTTTCTAGGAAGCTGTCTTCTTCCAAGTCTATGAGTTTGGTAATAGGAACTTCTTGAATAGATCTCTTCATTCGGCACAAAGCCTCTAAGGATGTTCCAAAGCAACTTGGGAGGTAATTTCCACTGATCTTCAGGAAGTAATCTTTGCCTTGATCCAGGTGAAGGACAAGAATATCTTCAATCTTATCTTCCCCTGAGTTCAGGATAGTTACAGAGTCTTTGCTGACATACACATCAAGGGAAATGTCTATAGTTACATTTGGCTCCAAGTAGCCCTCAAAAGGTTCAGCCCGAAGCCATGGCTTGCAGTACTGGCTGTCATTAAGTTTAGGGATGAAAGAAAAATGGCAGGGAACTTCTCCTTTTGCAGTTGCCAAAACTTCACATTCTCAAACACAAATTCCCTTCTGCTGAGTTCTACCGAAGGAAGGAATTCATTTTCCATCCTGTCCATGATGCAGACAATATCTTCAAAGACTTTCCGATACCTCCGTTCATCCACAACCTTTACCCCAATATTGAAGAGCGCGATCACAGGTTTGTGATCACTGGTTTTCAGTTCCATGTGACTCTGGTAATGAAGTTGACTAACATTTGCTCCTCTCCAAAGAATTCTGTCACACCAGGCTGGAACTCGACATTTCCCATCGTGTTTCGTGATGTTCCGCTGAGGGACAGTCTGATTTGGGACCACAAAACTCATTCGAGCACAGATGTCCTTATAATCTTGGTTCCGTCTCTCAAAGTCCTCCAGGTGGGCAGCCAGGTGAGAATTGACAATGCAGGATGTAGTGTTGTGAAATACAAATCTCACAGCCACCCCGCCCTTGTTGCCCATTTTTCCCATGATTCCGGTTCCAACTGTTTCTGTGATAACATCACTGATATGCCGCCATTGGTCCTTCCTGGTATATATAAGGAGCATCATACCAACAAGGCGGACTAGTTGAACTTTCTTATACTTGGCTTTAGAGTGCAAACCTCTTTCTACAGCCATGGACCACTCTTGCTCCTTTACAGATTCAAAATAGAAAAAGGCTTCTGTGCTCAAGTCCAGTTCCTGGAATCCAATTCAGTAGACATCAGGAGGATTCAAGTCGCAATTGAGCCAAGGTTCTAATCCACTGTCTGGACACTGGCCATTCACACTCCAAGTTCCAACGAAAAATTTGAAAGCCTGAATGTTAACACATTCTTTCTCACGCTTTGCCAGGATATGCTTGATGAGACCCTTCCTCTGCCCAGACTGGTTACTTGGGACAAAGAGCATGGTGTTGGTCACTTTGGGCTGTTCCTTGTTAGTTACTTCTTTTTCACGTGGTAGCATTTTACTGACGGAGCAGGGTGGAGGTGGGGGTTTCCGGTGAGTCCCTGTAGGCTGATTTTGTGTATTTCTTCTCTTGTCCAAATTCATAGCTGAAAAAATTATCCTCAAATCCAAAAGGCCCTGAAAACCCAGGCTTATCTTTAGTGTCTAATTTCTGGTACCAACTGGATGACTCCTTTTGCTCTGGAACAAGAAGGTGTAACTGAGCTTCCTGAGCAGCAAGGACTTCTGAAAGAAACTTCAAGCAGAGTTCTTCATCAGGGATTTCAAAGCGGCGCTCTCTGCTCCAGTCCCCCTGAAACCAAATTTTGCAGCCACTGCTTGATGCTGTGTCAATCAAAAGAGTTTCTTCTGTTTCTTGAACACTTCTAAAGTGGCTATTTATAGGAATGATATCTTGAACACGCTGTTCCTTTTTGTGCAACTGGATTATGAACTCATATTGCCCTTTCCTCTGGGCTAGAGTTAGGGAGCAGGGCTCCTGGTGAGGCCCCCTCATTTCCACACCCTCCACAGTGGCCAGGGGCTGAGCTTCGATCCGGAGCAGCGGCTCCATCCAGGAGGCCTCCAGGGCTCAGCGGGGCTGAGGAGTGCGGATGGATCCAGTGAGGTTACCTTCCGCCATCCTCTGTGCGTCCTGCGCGTCGCCTAAGGAAACACCTCGGCGCCGAGCGCTGGGAACCGGGAACCGGGAGCCAGAATGATTGGATTTTGTATTTCCAATGATTTATTCATTGCAAATACTTTTTCTAAAAGATGATTTTATACGTGGATTTCACCCAGTGGGCTGCATACGAATCAGATTGCCTACATTTGTGGAAGAAATCACTGGAGAAATTAAATATTAGCAGTCAGAACTAGCCAGGGGCAGACTGTAGGTCAGAATATCAATACTCATATTGCTCAAATTGAGGCTAAAGAAAATGAAATTAAGTTCACAAGAACCAAGACATGATCTTAAATCAATTCCATCAGAACTTAATGATCATCTTAAGAATAGGTTTGAGGCTTTAAACACTAATGATAGAAGACCAGATGAGTTGTGGGATGATATCAAGGATATCATCCATGAAGAAAGCAAAAGGTCATTACAAAAACAGAGAAGAAAAAAGTAATCAAATGGAAGCAGAGACTTTAATTGATGTGTAGCCTCCCAAATGTAAGAAAGTAAACATCTTTTTTGTAAAGCCATCCACTTGGGCTGTCTCTGTCATAGTTGTACCAGATAGCCAAGATACTCCATCTGAAAGTAAACATTCTACTGAACTTTGGATGTCAATGTCATGCTGATATTTGTATGGTGGCTTCTAGTAACGAAAGAAA